TCGACCCGGTGGGGTTTGGTTCTTTGGGCCTGTGGTTTAAAATTGAAGAAAAGGCCCAATCCGATTTTCTTCTTCTTTTATTTCCATTGTTTTTTTTCTTTTCTTTTTTTTTCTTAAAACTAAAATTCTAAAAATTCTAAATTAACTTATAGAACTAAATTAATTTATAAAAGTACTAATTAACTCTTAATAACAATTAACACACAATTAAATAGCAATTACGATAAAATCACACAATTTGGACATCAAATGCTAAAACTACAACGTACATTATTTTTTATGATTTTTGTTCTTGTAAAACAAACTTAATTGCTCCTAATTGTAGAATTAAGTCCTAAATGCAAATGCGACATATTTTGTATTTTTTATTAATTTAATAAATAAACATGCACAGACAAATACCAATAATTATCCAAAAATGCCACGAAAATTTTCAAAATTGCACACAAAGGAAAATTGTTTTATTTTAAATTTTTGGGAGTAATTCTCACATAGGGCAAAAATCACGTGCTCACACTAGGCAGTGATGTGTTGGTGGTCATAGATAGACTAACAAAGTATGGGCATTTCCTCGCTATTAAACACCCATATTCAGCACAAGATGTAGCAGAATTGTTTATGAGAGAGATATACAGATTACATGGGCTTCCCAAGACTATTGGCTCTGACAGAGATGCCATTTTTACTAGCCATTTTTGGTAGTACCTCTTCAAGGCTTTAGGCACTAAACTCAACATGAGTTCTGCCTATCACCCATAGTCCGATGGTCAGACTGAGCGACTTCACAGGTATTTAGAGACTTATTTGCGAGCTATGGTATTTGAAAATCCCAAGCAGTGGGCTAAATGGCTACATCTTGCAGAGTGGTGGTACAATACTAACTACTACACTTCTCTCAAGACGACACCATTTGAGGCGCTATATGGATACCCTCCGACTCAATTACCATTGGGTTCACTGCCTCATAGTGGTCACAACCCAGCAGGAGTCAACTTAGCACAGAGGCAGCACATGCTCCAGATTCTCAAAGATAACCTCACCCAAGCTCAGTCTAGAATGAAATTTTGTGCAGACAAACTAAGGTCAGAAAGAACTTTGGCAGTAGGGGATCTAGTCTACCTAAAGCTTCAACCTTATAGACAATCTTCAGTCGATGTTCGTAAAAATGTGAAGTTAAGTGCTCGCTATTATAGTCCCTACAAGATTCTACAAAAGATTGGTACAATGGCTTACCTGCTTGAACTTCCAAGTGGATCTCAGCTTCATCTCGTCTTCCATGTATCTCAATTGAAGAAGCGGATCGGTCCAGCAGTGACATCTCAGCCACAGTCTCCCACTTGTGATGATGAAGGTCGAGTCTTGATCCAACCAATTGCCATTTTAAAGAGAAGAATGGTTAAGATCGATAATGGGGTTCAAGTGAAGGTGTTGATTCAATGGGCTAACTTGAGCAGAGAAAAAGCATCCTAGGAAGATTGGGGCTACATCAAGCACCGATTTCCAGATTTTGTGGCACAACAAAGACCTTGAGGACAATGTCTGTCTTGAAGGGGTGGAGAATGTTATGTCTGAAGCGGAGAAATTAAGAAAGTGAAGAAATAAATTAGGGAAAGGGATAAGAGAAGGAGCCTATACTGGGCTGAGTCGATATTGGGCCTAAGTCACAAGTAACATGCCCAATTATTAGAAGCAACGGTCCTTAATAAGCAGCAGCTCAATTACTAATCATTGACAGCTAATAAATAACAGAATTGGAGGAGCGGTTACTAGTTTTGATTCTGGTAAATTTGTTACTCTCTTCTCTCTCTCTCTTTGTTCATCTTCCTAACTTCTTTCTCTTTTCTATTTTCCAGGTGGATACAAGAGCTATTTTATATTCATTGTAATTGCAACCCAATTGACGGAGCAATTGAATAATAAATCATGTTCTGCTTGTTCTCTTTCAATTTCTTTCCTAATAATTCTAGCATATTATAGATTCACCTACTTCTAAAACTTTCACAAGAAATGGAATCTATAGGAGTGTTAATGACCTGACCAATGTCGCCATACCTTGAGCAAGAGCTCGACAAGCATTTCAACTTTCTCCGGCTCTGGAATTTCCCCGAACACCAAAAGAGCCACTTCTTGAACTTGCATTCTGAATCTATTAGAGGAGTCGTTGGAAACGCAACAATCGGAGCAAATGCGGAGCTAATTGGTGCTTTATCGAAGCTGAAAATTGCATTGAGTTACAGTGTGGGATTGGACAAGATCGATTTGGAAATCTGCAGGGAAAAAGGAATTAAGGTTACTTACTGTCCCGATTTGATTACTGAAGACGTTGCAGATATTAGCATTGCTTTGTTTTTGGCAGTTTTGAGGAGAATTTCCCAATGTGATCGCTACGTTAAGAATGGCCTTTGGAAGAATGGCGATTTTATGTTGACGACCAAGGTCAGGCTCTCTCTCCCCATTTTCCATTTCTTTATTAGCAAAATATAAAATTGGCAGATTGACCGGAACTAATTATATTCACAAAATATAAAAGACATATATAAAAAATATATAAATTTTTTAGTTACTATTATTTTTGGATGCAGCTAAAATTATTATTTATTTCGTTCGTTTAGATTTTTGGCCCAAGTACTTGTTGGTCCAACCTTTTACCTAGGTTTATATACATGTTAGGACTAGTTTTGGACTATTGTATGGGTCTAACAACGGAGAGATTATGAACTGGCCTACAATACACTCATTAAGTCACATGATTAACTTGATTTTCCGCTCTAAAAATAGCACGGCTTAGCCAGTTTTTGGATTAGTAATTAAAAAATAGTCAAAGTTTGTAAAATAGTTGAAAAATAGCCACTATTTTGCTGCAACACAGAAAGTTCCAGCATAAAATACTGGAGATTGATGCACCTGTGTATGAATTTCCAGCATAGTATGCTAGAACTCCAACACACAGAAAGTTCCAACATAATATATTGGAGATTGGAGCATATGTATATAAACTTCCAGCATATTATGCTGGACCAGTATATTATGTTGGAATATTTTCCGAATTATGAACAACGTTTTCGTTCAGATTTATTTTTACATAAAAAGTAGCTAATTTTTGATTGCTTTTGAAACAATATCTATTTTTCAATTACCACTTGTAAATCTGGCTATTTTTGAATTTCACAATTTTTCGCTAAATTACGTGATGTTTGTTATTTTTAATTGAACTTTAATTATTTATAATTCATTAACAATATTTTTATGTTATGTTAAATAAAAGTTTAAAAATAAAAAAATTGTGTACTTACATTTGTATCTACTATATAAGTATGTTAACATTGGAAATTGTTCGTGTGAAAGAACAAAAAAAATCAACCACATACCTTAAATTCATGGGAACACCCAATAATTAAGCAATAAGAAAAAAGAGAATACGTAACTTGTCAATTACATTAAAATATGTTGTCGATTTAGTGCAGATCTGTTGCATTAAAGGCAGTTATACTGCACCGACTGTAATAGTGAGAAATAACAAATGTCTTCTTCTTCTTCTAAGTTACATGCAATGTCGATTTAGTGCAGATCTCTACTGAGATTTTGTCATGGTATTAGAGTGGGGGCGATTTGAAGTTAGATCAAGGATTTCAAAATTCCAAATTGACAGCCACTGTTGAAGCTTGAGCTGGTTTGTCATGGCAGAAACTGAAAATTTACAAATTGATCACAAGCACCCACTATTTTTGCAACAAACAGACACACCTGGGATAGCACTGATTGACATCAAGCTCACAGGACCTGAGAATTACGCATTATGGAGCAGATCGATGAGGATGGCATTGATGGTGAAAAATAAGTTAGGGTTCATCGACGGAATCTGTTTGAAAAGCTCTTATAGAGGTGAATTAGGGCATCAATGGGAACGATGTAATGTTGTGGTGCTCTCGTGGATTGGTCGCACTATTTCTGCTGAATTACAGCCTAGTATCATCTACGCATCTAATGCGAGGAAGGTATGGAATGAATTTAAGGAACGATTTAACAAATCGAACCTTACTAGATTTTGTCATTTGTGGACAACAATAGGGACCCTAAGGCAGGGAACAGATTCTATAACAACTTATTACACTAAAATAAAAGATTTGTGGGATGAAATGGATCTAATGGTACCAAGAGCAGGGTGTGATTGTGAGGAAACCAGACTTTTTTTGGATCAGTTCAAAAGCCTGTGTTTATTACAATTCCTTGTTGGTTTGAACGAGAGTTACGGTCATGTGAGAAGTCAAATTCTTCTGAAAACACCTATATTGACTGTGAATCAAGCTTATGCACTAGCAGTCCAAGAAGAAAGTCAACGTACACTTAGTATAGCTAGTTCAGATAAGGAACCTTTAACTATGCTAGCTGAAAGAGGACAAGGCGGCAAGGCGGCAAGGAAATCAGGTCTCATATGTGATTACTATGGGTATAAATGTCACTTGAAAGAGAATTGCTATAAGATCATAGGCTATCCACCGGACTTTAAAAGTAAGAAGAAGCCTCAAAACACTGGAGTAAAGGGATATGCTAATGTATCAACAGGAGAAGGAGGAAGTTTTGACACTGCCTCTCAGATGCAGGGGCATTTTTTCACAAAGGACCAGTACAAGCAATTACTAAGCCTCATAAACAAGCCAGATCCTGATCCAGATGAATGTCATACCTTAATGACAGGTATAACTTCTTTTTTGTCCAAGGTATTTGACTATGATTGGATAATTGACATCGGTGCCTCTCATCATGTTACACCTTATAAAGAAGTGCTAGATAATGTAAGAAAAGTTGAAAATCAAAATAATAGTGTTGTACAAGTCCCTACAGAGGGGAAATGTCATGTAACATATACATGGTGAAAATGTTAGATGAATTAATACTGAAAGATGTTCTATATGTCCCTGATTTTAAATTCAATCTAATGTCAGTGTCTAAACTGAATAAGGAGTTATCATGTTGTGCTGCATTTTCCCACATTTCTGTGTATTTTAGGGTCTCTACGGTGGGAAGGTTTTGGGGATTGATAAAGAACACAATGAACTATATTTGTTAAAAAGGGAGATCATTAAAGAATTTCCAGCTATAGCAGGAAGTATTGTGCAAGTGTAGGAAGACTTAGTACGATGGCACCTCCGGTTGGGTCATCCTTCAGCTGTTGTATGCAACATATTTCTCTGCTAAAGAATAAGATAGATGCCAGGACACAACACAGCTTTGAAGTGTGTCTCTTGGCCAAATAGAATAGACTTCCTTTCCAGCATAGTAGCAATAAAATAGAACAGATTTTCCAATTAGTGCATGTAGATGTTTGAGGTCCTCACAGGATACCAACATATGATAAGAAATATTACTTTGTAACACTAGTTGGTGATTTTAGCAGATATACTTGGATAAGTTTGTTGCAGTCAAAGTGTAAAGTGTTTGTTTTGCTAAAGAATTTCTTTACTATGGTGCACAATCAGTTTAATCTGAATGTAAAAAGATTAAAGCCAGACAATGGTACTGAATTATTTAATTCTAAGTGTAATGAATTAATGAGTTGATTGGGCATAGTGTATCAAATTAGCTGCCCATACACACCCCAACAAAATAGGGCGGTAGAGAGAAAATACAGGCATATACTGGAAGTAGCTAGAGCATTAAAATTTTAGATCTCCTTGCCAAATAGATTCTGGGGTGACTGTGTTAAGGCAGTAGTTTACTTGATAAACAAATGACCAACTTCTGTTCTATCGGGAAAATCACCTTATGAGTTGCTCTACAAGAAAACAACAAGAATTGACCATCTTAAAGTTTTTGGATGTTTGTGTTTTGCAAGCATTCTACCTAGAGGAGACAAATTTGCAGCAAAAGCAAGGAGAGCTATACTGATAGGCTATTCAGAGACTCAGCAGGGTTATAGATTATATGATTTGGAGAATAGAACATTTCTAGTAAACAGAGATGTTGTTTTTAGAGAACAAATATTTTCTTTCAAAGGAATGGCTTCAGATTTAGATGATATATTCCCAGAAGATCCTCCTGAATTAACACCTATTGATATCCCTTCCCTACACAAACTTCTTCCCAACCTGATCCTTCTGATAACCCTACACATGAAGATATGCCTCTAAATATCACATACACAGAACCATAAGAGCATTTACATGAAGAATTGAATGAGGATAGTATAGATCAGTCACAACCACTGAATCAGGAAGAAACAGATATCAACATGAGTTCAGATACCTTATCTGTAGATATAGTTGAGGAAATTGAAGAAACTTCACCAGCAGAAAAAGCAGTGAATGTTAGAAAATCAGCAAGAATTTATAGGCCACCTATATGGATGAAAGACTATGTGGCACCAGGAAACAACTTATACCGTATTTCTCAAGGACTCTCATATGCTAACCTCACTACATGATATCAGTCATACTTCAAAGCTTTCTTAGCATACATTGAGCCTAGTTCCTTCAAGGAAGCTGCCCAGGATAACTGGTGGATTGAGGCAATGCAACAGGAGATAACTACACTAGAAGAGAATAACACATGAGAGCTGGTTGATCTACCACCAGGAAAGTAGGCTATTGGGTCAAAGTAGGTTTATAAGATAAAACATAAAGCAAATGGAGAGGTAGAAAGGTTCAAGACCAGACTAGTAGCAAAAGGCTACAATCAGAAAGAGGAATTGGATTACCATGAGACATTATCTTCAGTGGCAAAGATGGTAACTGTTAGAACCATCATTAGTATTGCTGCAGCCAAAGGATGGGATTTGCATCATATGGATGTGAATAATGCTTTTTTACAAGGGGACTTGTATAAAGAAGTATACATGGTACTACCACAAGGGTTTCACAAACAGGGGGAAAAGAAAGTGTGCAGGTTGCTGAAGTCACTCTATGGGCTGAAACATGCATCAAGACAATGGAACATTAGTTAACAGATGCATTAGTTACACATGGTTATCTACAGAGCAATTATGACCATTCCTTGTTCAGTAAAAGGCAGGGTTCAGATTTGGTCATTATACTTGTTTATGTAGATAACATGCTGATCACTGGCAGCGGTTCCAAGCTAGTTAATGATGCTAAAAGGACATTGCAAAGTCAATTCAAAGTAAAATATTTGGGTGAGCTAAGATACTTCCTTGGTATTGAGGTGCTCAGATAAAAAAAAGGATTCTGCTGAATCAAAGTAAATATGCACTTGAGTTGATCTTAAGTGTTGGTTTGAGTGGTTCTAAGCATGTTTCAACACCTCTAGAGATGAATCAAAAACTCGCCACAGTAGAATTTGTTGCTCGTGTAGGAAGACTAGGAGATCCAGACTTGAAGGACATTACTGCATACCAGAGGTATATTGGGAAACTTTGTATTTGACAATTGCACGACCTGACATCAGTTTTGCAGTACAGACATTGAGCCAGTTCATGCAAGGTCCAAAAAATCTCACATGGATGCAGCTTTGAGGGTAGTTAAGTACATAAAAGGAGCACCAGGTTTGGGAGTTCTTCTGCAGGCAAAGCCAGTTGACACATTGTATGCCTACTGTGATGCAGCTTGTGTGCCTGTTCCAATACTAGGAGATCAGTGACATGTTATATTATTAAGTTAGGGAGCTCCTTAATCTCATGAAAATCAAAAAAGCAGCAAACAATTAGTAGAAGAGAGAAGCATAGCAGTAGTGACAACATAAGTTGCCTGGTTATCAAGACTCCTAGAAGAATTGAAGATGCCAATTTCTAAACAAGTCTAGTTGTTTTGTGACAACAAAGCAGCCATTCAAATTGCAGAAAATCCAATTTTCCATGAACGGACCAAACACATTGAAATAGATTGTCACTTTATAAGACAGAAGATCAAGTTTGGGCTCCTCACACCACACCATGTTAGTTCAACAATGCAACTTACAGATTTGCTCACTAAATGGTTATCTGCAGCTCAACATCATTCCTTAGTTTCCAAGCTTGGAGTGTTGGATGTCTTCCAACCTCCAGTTTGAGGGGAGTGTTGAATACTCAGTAGTGATGTTAGTTAAGTAGTTGGGGTATTTTGGTCTTTTTACCTCATCACACACGTGACTCGTGTGAAAGGTCTTGTATTAAAGACAATTATAGTGCACCGACTATAATAGTGAGAAATAACAGATATCTTCTTCTTCTCGGTTATATGCAATATCGATTTAGTGCAGATCTCTACTGAGATTTTATCACATGTATACACTAAATTATATTAATTTATTATTAAGTTAAATTAAAATAAATGATTATGTCAATTGATTAAAGTTAAATAGAAAAAACTTAAGTAAATAACATATGCCATGTAACTACGATTTGGATACACACGAGATTGGGATAAAAAATAGTTTGGAAATCGATCAACCCCTCATTTGTTAGCTACAAAAAGAGTACACTTGTATCACTCTTCATACTCCACACACAAACAAGAAGAGAAAAAATGGAAAGCATCGGAGTGTTAATGGCGTGTCCTATGTCATCCTACCTAGAGCAAGAGTTAGACAAGCGATTCAAGCTCTTCCGCTTCTGGAACTTTTCCCAGAAGAACGAATTCCTCAATCAGAACGCCGATTCCATCCGCGCTGTCGTCGGCAACGCCTTCGCCGGCGCTGACGCTGAGCTCATCGATTCCCTCCCCAAGCTCGAAATC